CACAAAACAAAATAATCATAGCCACAACTGGACTGCATAACTTCATTCGCCTTTCTCAAATTCTAGACATTGATTTTGATGATGCTTTGCATACTAATGCAATTCCGCGAGAACATATTAATAACAATGGAGAAAGTGCAGAAGAAGACTTTCTACATAATCAAGAGAGAACAACAGCAGGAACTCGTATGCAGATAATACGAGAGGGAATAAAACAACAAATATGGGATGCATTTCATTAATGAACTACTGGATTCGGATATTCAGGTTCAGTTTTTTTTTTCTTTCAAAATATAAGATGCTTTGAGAATACTAAGTACTTTTTAACTTTTTGAATATAGTATAAGTACTAGTATTTTACAATCTTTTGTGATTGGTCAATTATTATTACCATTTAAGTTTGAAAAAAAATAATTACTTTTTTAAAATTAATTACTTTTTCAATATTAATTACTTTAAAAAAATTCTGCAAATTCAGCAAATTCTGCTGTTACCATTTAAGTTTGATATTATTCAGCAAATTCTGCAAGAAATCAATAGTAATTCAGTAAATTCTGCAAGAAATCAACAGTAATTCAGCAAATTCATCAAAAATTCAGCAGTTACCATTTAGACCCTTAGTTTAAATAAAGTCGATGTAATATAAATGACGATGTTCATTCCGGATAAACTGATCCTGTTCCATTTGGATCGAATCTCTTATTTTCGAAAACAAAACCATATTATTCTAAGGAATTTGTTAAATACCAAATACAAATAATATTTCTAAAACTAACAAAAAGCCTTATAATATGGATTACCTCTTTTGGAGAATGGAGAGGGAGGATACCCTAAATGGTGAATGTAAAATGTTTTTATGGCTAATGTCGTATATTTGGAAATCACAAAATAAAAAATGCTTCCAAGGAGTCGAAGCTGAACCACTAGATGTCTTCAATTTGGCAGAGGGTGAGTTCTTGACATGGACAGATGCACAAATATGTGTATCGGAGGTGGAAATCACTTTAGGGGCGGATATCCATATAGTGGCTCAGACATCGAATCACTGT